AAAAGAAGTCCGAAAATTCGTCCCTTTTTATTGAAAAGGAACTTTTCGGCTTTAATTCAGATCCGACGGATCAGATCTGAATCCAATCTGAATCTGACAGATCAGATCCGAATCCGTGCGGAACACTACTCTCTACATATACATATATAAATAAAAGTGCTAAAAAAAAAATTTAGTAGCAAGATAGATAAATTTTTTTCGATTTAAGTTATATACCTAAGTTGTATATCAGTAATAACTTTGATATCCAACATTATGAATAATCCTATTGATTTGAACAGCCAATTCTTGGATATGATAAAATTTAGCTTCTAATAATAATTCTTCAAGTAATAACTTGTCGCGCAAAGTTCTTTTTGACAAGTCATCTGTTCTCATAAATTCAAGAATATATTTAAATAACTCACCATTTCAGTCAATAAAAATATTTCCATTATAATCAAAATTATTAAAAGGCTTCAAAAAGAATTTCATTTTTTTTAAAAGTGTTCTTTTTGTAGTAGTGTAGAATATTCTACCAACATTAAAGATAATAAGAATGATAACATAATTATTTTAATGTAAAGTTGAAGCTTCATCCTAGTAATATAATAAACAAAGTCAATTTACTATAAATCAATTGAATTATTAATATAAAAACAAATTATGTTACCTCATTTTATATACCGTATATTCATTGCTTCTGATCATTTTAGAAGGTAGAAAATAAATTTTTGTTTTATCAGAAAAGCAAATTCTTATCCTTTAACATGTTAGTAAAAAATTCTAGCAGCATTCTCAGTTTTAAAATGTGCATGTCTATACATATTATTTAGTGTTTTGAAAACGTGAAATACATTTACTAAAAATTTGGTTGAAATGAAATCTTTTATCTTTTAACTACTTTGCCAATTAATTGATCTCCTACAAATACAGAATTGCTTAAAGGGTAACAAGGAATTATCTTTTACTTTTTGAGATCTAAATATAGGATAAAAAAAGTGAAGGCGTAAGAAATATAATTATAATACAAAAATGTAAAGCATGAATATGAGCATGAGCATAAGTATGAGTATATAAGTGTGAGCATTAGTATATGAGCGTGAATATGAGCGTAAACATATGAGTATAAGTATAAATGTGAGCGTGAGTGTGAGTACTCTCAAGAACCTATTTTTATATTTATTACGAAGGAAAATACATAACTAATTCCTTCTCCGGAATCAGTAGACCTTTAACATAGTAATTTCTTTTAAGGTTTCTTGAAAAAAATTTGTAACATAAAACATTTCTTCACTTACTTCCTTTCATAATATATTTTGTATATAGTACATGTAAAAAAGATTTTTCTGAATTAAGAGAAGATAAAACAATCCACTGTTTTAAAAAAAAAAATTTCAAATTTTTGAAAAGGAGAGATAAAAAGTATATACTATATATATAAAAATAGGGTTGCATCACTTAAGCTATTCAAAAGACGCGTTCTATTTCAGTATTACACTAATATTACTATACAATCTATTGTAATAATATTATTACAGTATTTTTATCAATAAATATAATAACTACAGTATACATAATACTTAAAGACTAAAAACACATAATTATTTATTTTCAGTTAAAAATCACGTAACTATTATAATACATATCACATGATCAATGTAAATCATATAATAATATAATTTATATGTACTAAATGAAATAGCAATAAAGATGATAAATTTCAATGATTAAGTTTAATATACAACTTATTAGATAAATTTAATTGATTAAGTTTAGCACATGATTTATTGATAAATTTTATTTAATGCATATATATTACAGAATTTATTAATTTTATTATCCTTTCTCACAACTTTTTTTTTTATAAATACAGTTAAATCATCTTATGAAATCTACCTATGAGATTTAAATTTTTTATATGTATATTCAGCTAACTTTCTATTAATCTTTCGTAATATAATTGCATATATTTTTATGATTTTTAGTCAAACTTCTTAATTATAATAATATTTATTGAATCAAGTACTTGCAGAACAGATTTTGTAAACTACCCCATGTATAATCACAATGATTCCTTACATAATGCTTGGCCACATCCCAATATATTTCAATAAAATTAAGTTCACAATAGAACTTTAAATAGAAAACATATAAATGACTTGCATTCTCAATTAATTCTACAATGGTTGACTTTTGCATTATAAAATTTAGTTGAGATAATATAATTTTTTTTGCATAATAATTAACTCTTAGAGATTCATTTTCTTGTACATTGAACATTCTAAATTAATTCTTCCTTCTATAAATCTCTTTCTTGTAATATTCTTTTTATCCTTTTTGGTTTTTCTCATAAAGTAGGATTAGAATAATCTTCTAAAAATACCATTTGCTAGATTATTTTCTGTCTATTTTTATCAATAAAAGATGTTAATCTTATGATTAGTTGTTTTTCCCAAAACTCAAATTCATTCTTATTGCAACAAGAGCATTTTTGGTATATATTACATAGTTTGTATTATTATTAAAGGCAAAAATAACTGTTACATTAAAAAATTTTACCTCAAAAATAGGAATTGCTTTAAATTTAATTTATTCTAACAAATGTTAAAAGGTCTAGTAACATTATCAGGTAAAAGATAATAACAAGCTTCTATAGAAATATACAGATTTTTTTCTATCTCTTCTTTACTATGTTTTAATTGATTACAAGTCTCTAAAAGAAATTTGCTCATTATAATTAATCTTCTGTTTCTCTTCTTTTGCAATGGTATTTTACTATCATTTACTCAAATTCTTTCTTTTTCATCATTTATATAGAATATATACTTATTATAAGTAACAAGAATTAATTCTCATTTATTTGATTTAAGTACTGGTAAAATTACTTCTATTTTCTCTTTCTTATATCTAGCTATTTGTTATTCCAATCCTTTCATTATTTTTAAAATTCTTTCTAATATATAACATCCTCTTATTCATATTCATTAAAATTGATATCCTTTTGATATCCTTCAAACTAGTATCTTAAGATATGCAACTATCTTTCAGCAGATTATTTTCTAAATTCCTATACATTTAAGTAAAATAAAATTCTTAATATATTGTTTTAAATAAATTATGTTAATATTATTTGAACCTGATTTTTTTCATAACCATTGTTGTAAACTTAATGCAATATCTTTATCATCAATAAGTTGATGATATTTTTGATGCTTTTTGATAGAAATAGTAATAGAGATGAAATAGAAAAACTTTCAGTAAATTCACTTTTGACAAGAGTCTGTAGAATGATGATATATCAAGAAATAATTATATATCATTTTAATTAAATGATAATGTATCATTTAAAAAAAAAGATAAATTATCACTTTTTCTTGAATATACTATCATTTAATTAGAATAATTTTACTGCATTTTTAGATCAAATAGTTTAGATTAGAATAGAATTATTTATTATGACCTGAACTAAAAAAATATTAAATTAAATTAACCAGATAAATTAAACTATTTAGAGTTTTAATTCTGAATTATCATAATTTTAAATATACTTACCATAGATTTTTATGTGATTATATATGTTATTAGATGTATTAAATAAAAAAAGTTTTGTTTTTGAATAAATTTTATGTTAAAATAAATATATAATAATGATTTAATAAAAAAAATTTTGAATTTAAAATTTTTGTCATATATTTAAAAATCAAATTTGTTTTTTAAAATTATTTAATTTTTAAGTTAGATTAACATTATAAATTTAATTAGAATTATAATATATAAAATTATAATTGATCAAAATTATATAATTATAGTTTATTTAGAATTAGAATTAAATTAAATATTAAGTCTAAAGTTTAATAGTTTATTATTAAAAATTGGATAAGATTAATTCTAATACTAATTAAGATATATTTTCTGATAAAAAAAATATATAATAATTTTGTAATAAAATATTTTTTTATTATATATTATATATTTTCATCATCAATTGCTTTTAACTAGAATATTAAAAATATATTTTATTTAAATTTAAAATGTTTTATATAATTTAACAAACTTTTTTAAAATCTTTTTTAAGTAATCACATTTACAACTAGAGCTTTGAATTAAATCAAGTAATCTATTATCTGATTTAATTTAATTTGAAAAATTTAAATCAAGTTAATAAAATTTTAGGTTAATATTAAGTAAAATTAAAAATATAACTTAATCTGATAAAATTCAAATTAACTAATTAAATTATATATATAGTTTTTTTTTTGATAAAGATAATTGATAATCATAAAATAATGATTTTATTAATAATAAATTTTAAATAATTAAAAATAATATATATACAGTCAACCCTCTCTAAATGCATCCCTCTTGGGATCATAATGAAAATTTTAAAAAATGTGTATTTAAAAAGAAAATTTCTATATGAATTTTATATGCTTGAAAATGAATAAGAGCATACATTTAGAGAAAAAATATATAGTATATGCATTTAGAGAGGGTTGACTGTATATATTTTTTTTATATTGATTTAAACCTTGATTTATTTTATAATTTATTCATAAATAATATATATATTATTTTTTCCTTCTTTTTTATAAATAAATATACATAATTAATTTAATTACACTAAATTAGAAAAGAAAAAAAAATAATATTCTTTATAAATATATAATATATTTTATTAAAAATTATAAAACACAACTTAATTAGTAATATTATTTATATAAATATATAAAATACTCTAATGATAATTATAATTTATTTTAAAAATATTACCTTTATAAATTTAAACTAAATTATTATTTTATTAATTATATTTAAACATTTAATAATGAATGAATTCAAAATCTAAAATATGATTATGATATTATTTAATAATGATTTTATACTTTTAATATTCTTATATTATATTAATAATAAATGTCAATCATACTGATACCTAAACTTAAACAAATTAAACTTAAGATAAATAAAAGATTTAAAAGAATTTTATTTAATTAAAAATATTTTATTAATAGTTCTTTCTTTATTTTATAATATTAGACTTGAGATAAATAGAAGGCTTGTGTAAGTTTTATATAATTAAAAACATTTTATTAATATTTTTTTCTTTATTTTTTAGAATACTGAACTTAAACAAATTAAATTTGAAATAATAAAAGCTAAAATAGATTTTTTTAATAAAAAATAATTATTTTATTAATATTTCTTTTTTTAAGATATTAAATTCAAATAAAATATTTCTTTTTATTTTAAAAAAAAAATTTAATTATTAATTAAATAAATATTTTCTTTGATCATTAATTTTACTTAAAATTTTTAATAATAAAAAAATTTTAGTTATTAAAAAAATGTAAAATTAATAATTAAGTTTTTTTACTAATTTTTTGATTACTAATATCTTTTTAAATCATTATATTTTAATTAATTATTATTTTTTTTTCAATAATTTATTATT